CCCCCCCCCCACGGCGGCCGGCCACTCCGAGGGGCAGCGCGCCCGACGGGCACCACTGGGAGTGCACACTTACGTTGTTCTCGGCCTGCACCCTGATTTCCTTCAGAACCTTCCTGGTTCGCGGGCTGGCCATGCTGCTGCACCAGGGGCCAAAAGCTCTCCAAACGGACGAGCAGGTTGCTCTACAGGAGGGGAGATCTGGCCAGCTCGGATGCACGACACAACAGGAAGCGTCAGGACAATGTGCAGGGGCTGTGTGGAGGAAGCCGCAGGGCAATGTCCCCTCTTCCTGCAGAAACCTGCCCCCAGGCCCTGAGCAAGCTCCCAGGCCACAGTGCTGGCAGCCACGACTGCAAGCCACAGGACGCTCTGCCCTCCCAGGATGACGCTCACGGCCAGGGCTGTCTCTACAAGACACACAGATCTCCCCGGGAAGGACTGGAGTGGTCACATTCAACCTCAGGAGCCCAGGAGCTGGACACCCACTCCCGCCTGCCACCTCCCACCTGCAGGTCCTCCATGGGGCCATCCTGAGGGGTGGAGGTGACACATGGTGTGGCCACAGCAGGACAGGACAGTAGCTTGTGGACCGCCAGGGACATGGTGGGGACAGCAAGCAGGCGGGCAGAAGAGGACAGTGCTTCCTGTGGCCCTGCTGCTCTCACTAAGCTCAGCTTGGTTGGGAGCCCCTTGATCCAGAGCCAGGAGCCACGGCTCTCATCACGGGAAGGCAGTGCGCCAGCTGTGGCGTGCCACGAATGTACCCGCTGGGCCTGCACTTTCTGCCCTGGAGAGCGGATCTGGGCCTCAGGCCTCCCTGATGGGCCCAGATCACAAGCAAATGTGTCACTGTTGGGCCGTGAACGGACCTGTGATGTTCCCTGAGTCCGGTGGCCACGCACACCATCTGGGTGGCATGTCAGTGTTTTGTAAGTGACAAGGCAAAGCACACCTGTGTCCTCGCTACTGAACTGCCAAGGCCAAGACCTGCTGACGGTGCTTCAGGTCGAGAAGCATAAAACACCTGAAAGTAGGGCCAGCAGGTGGCGCGGTGACAACAGCCCTGGACTTCCAGCTGGCCAAGCAGTTTGAGTCCCAGATTTGGTGGCTTGAAAATCACGGGGGGTCTAATTCAAAATTGGATTAAACAGCATATTATTCTTTTCTGGCCTTATCTCCAAATAGATTGCAGGCATTCTTTCACAGAAAAGTACTCTCGTATTATGGATTTCTAGAATGTTAACAATATGACAATATAACAATTACAGTTTATATTTTCCCTTGGTGCCCTTTTGCAATTACAAACATGTTTCTGCTGTTGTTTTTGTTTTTAAGAATTATTTAATTTTCATTTATTATTATTTAATTCACTAGAGAGAAATAGAAAGTGAGAAAGCAAACTGCCAGGTCCAGAACTCGAACCATAGTTGACCATGTTAAGAGTCTAGCACCTCAATCATCATGCCACTTGGTGGTCCCTAAGACATAAACATTTTTTAAAATGCTTAAAACAAGTATTCCACAGTAAAGATACAAATGTTCTTTCTGCCTACAAGTCACTGCTAGTGGAATAAGAACAGAAAACCTTTCTCTTAAATTTTCTTTCAAAATGGAAAGGAAATAAGGAAAAAAGAAATGAGTAAATATGCCAATGAAAGAAAAGGATAAATAAAAAGAAAAACATTTTCCAGTAAAATCATGAGGTAGAAGGCCACCCTTAACAACTACCAGTCAAACACACATCTTGAATTCAATAGCAGAGAAGAGGGACAGTGAGGGGAAAGAATGAAATGAGCGAAAACTAAACTGAATTCCCAAATCTGAACCCAGTCAAGAAAAAGGGCTCTAACAGCAGCTACTGAGCCAGGAGCATGCGCTTCTCTTAGCAGCAGCAAGCACTCTGCCCACTGCCTACCCTTAAAAGCCACCAGACCAGCCCTGGCTTCCTGGCTGAACCTAGGTATATTCCAAAGATCCCACGAAAGCCCCCTCACTACCACAATGCTCTTGTGACCATATTCTACAAAGAAAAAAAAAAGAGAGAGAGGTATCCACAAACGTGAGGTCTGAGAATTTAAGATAAGGACTCAGTTTGGTGAACATATGTTCTAAATTGATAGAAGGGAGGGGGAGTGCTTAAAAGTACGGATTCAGGGAACCAGCAGTTAGTGTAATGGCTATGGCGCTGGACGCCCACGTAGTCAACCGCGGTTCGCGTCCCGGACCCAATGCATGCCCAAGATCCCGAGAGGAGAATGGAGGAGGGATTGCGGCGTGGCCATCCCCCCTGGGGGGGTGATTTCTCGCTTTCTGTCTCTCTCTGGCGAGCGCACGCGCCCTATAGCAAAAACCTCTCAAAAAAAAAAAAATCACGCTGGGTACACGCGTGTACGTACCCAAAATCCCAGGGGAAGGGGGAGGAAGGGACTGCAGTCAGGGGTGATTTCTCCTTCCCCTGTCTCTCTTTGGTGAGCCCATGTACCTATGGCAAAAACCTTAAAAAGAATCAGAAAAGCCTGTTTCCTTCTCGACCTCAGGCACGCAGAAGAGCAGAAACTGGGTATTTGCCGCCATAGGTAATTCTGGCCCCCTACAGGGTCAGATCCCCCCCTCTTGCTAAGACCTCCGGTGAGCGCTGAGCCCTAGCTCCTCCAGCTCTCCAGCTACCTGAAGCTAGGGGATGAGTTTACTTTCTGTAATTCACTCAGACTCCCTTCCCCTCATGACTCTGTGCCAGACGCCCAAGGACCTGGCCCTGGCAGGACCCAAGGACCCACGCAGGGGACCTTCATATGTCACAGACACGCCCATCATGCAACAGCGAAGGTGGAAACAGGCAGGGCCCTGGAAGCCCAGCTCACAAAGCCCTCTGTACCCATCCTCCTCCTAGGGGCTCTGGCCCTGAGCGGGCTGGTCTGCAGATCAGGCTGCAGAGAGCAGGTGCCTTCCCCACGCCCCAGCCAGCCGCTGGGGCAGGGCCTACGCTCCCCCTGCAGCTCTGGGCAGGCCAGCAGGGAAGGTCCTGGGCACACGACACAGGCACATGGAGGCAGGACCTCGGGGAGGTGGCCCTGGGGCTTTGGGTGCACACAGAGGAACGGACCTCGTAAGAGCATTGGACAAGGGGGACCCACAGGAAACACCCCCGTGACCAGCCCTGGGTGCTCGGGGCCCTCAGCGCTCCCACACGCAAACGGGCTCTGCACCCCCCAAGTGCACTAACATGGAAACACCCTCCCAACCTCCCAGGGCGCCAATGAGGCTAACCTCCGAAAACACCCAGGAACGCCTAAAGCCTGGCCGACAGCACTGCCTCCTCCTCCCACGGACCCAACAGAGAGCGTGCCACCAGAGACGCCACCTGCTCTCCGCCGGGGGGGGCTGACACTACAGACAGCCCGGGGCGGTGACCGAGGGGCGGCGGAGGACG